CACACGCCCCACCTCATGAGACACTCATGGCTTCCCGAGTGTGGCTCTTGACGTCCATGAGCCACAGTTCCGGCAAACCCCAGCTGCTCAGGGACACACGCATGCCTGGCTCTGTTGCAGAGACATGCTGGTCTCTGCCTGGAAAGCCTTAGCATAGGGTTGTTTTCTGGCTTCCCCTCCCAGCAGAACCGAGCACTGCCTCTTCCGGGAAGGCTTGCCGCATACTTCATGGGCCTCCACTGTACCCATCAAGGAACTGAGGACATGGGAAAAGTCTCTCCACCATCTTCTGCCCACGGCACCTGAGCACATGCAGCACCTTTCTACCTCCACAGGTGTGGGTGGGGGAAGCCCTGCTTTAAAGCCCGAAGTTCAAATCTCAGACTCTTTTTACCAGCTGTGTGATCCCTTAGGTAACAGCGTCCTTGGACCTGGGTTTCAGGCTGCTTTGGTGAAGTTTTAAAGACTGGAGATTCTGTCTACTAAGCACTCATGACAGGTCCTGACAAGGACAGCTGCTAGTAGTTGTCATCTAGGAATGATCAGCGGTATGGGCAGGTTGTTCTAGGATGCCAACAAGGGTGGACAGGTAAACAGCCAATTTAGTAATACACTCACTGGAGAAGCCAGAGAGCAGGCACAGGAGTGCTCTTCTTATGTCTGAATGTTTTTGTTTTTTTTTTCAGCTCTTCTTACGTTTGAAAAATTTCATAACAAAATGTTGGGAAGAATTAGAGGGCTTATTCATGCTGACATGAATCTGCAAATTAAGGAAGCAAGGAATAAGTTGCTGCATCGCTCATCTATGGTGTTCGGGGGTTCAAATTCCACCCCACAGCAAGTGGCTTTGCAGGATTCTGTGACCTCGGGCAGACCCAGTGTGGCCCCGTGGGGACAGTCACACATGCTGTAAATGGGTACGGCTTCGGTGCGGGCCCTCGTGTAAGTCCCTATGGCATCCCCACGTTCTCCCCTCTGACACTTGTCCACTCTCGGTCTCCTGCTCCGGGGTGCTGAGGGCTGGCTCAGTGCTTATGCCGCCTCTGTGCTGCGTCACAGGCAGCAGAGTGCACACAGGCCTCCCTTGGAGCCAGCGGGCTCAGGGTGGCTCTGGGATTCTGTATTTCTAACAACCACGGTCTCGGGGTGCTGTTGCTGCTGGATGCAGACTCCCTGTGTGCAGTGGGCCCAGGGCAACGGTTGTCTGTGCTGGTGGCTGCTGAACACCACCATGCCTCCCCTTGCCCCCCAAATCAAACCAGAATCTCTAGAGCTGGGCCCAGGGTCTCCAGATGCAGCTCAGGCTGAGAACCTCAGCCCATCCTTTATCTCACATCCTCCAACCGCTTAGGGACGGCAATCGATGCTCACTCCAGGAAGAGCCTCCAAATTGTGTCCCAGGTCCAAGCACTTCAGTCCCATATGACCACCACGCTGGTGACAGGCACTGATAATCACCACCTGCAAAGGCAGCAGCCCTGCCGCCTGACCCCTGGCTCTGGAAAGTCTCACTCTCACAGTCTCCTGTCAGGCAGGCATCTGTGTCTCCCCACAACCGAAACGGGTGGAGGTGCTGGACAAATACCTCCAGTCTCAGGGCTGGGGATTTAGCTCAGTGGTGATGCCACCTGCCTCATAAGCGCAATGACCTGAGTTCGATTCCTGGTGCCAAAAAACCAAAAAACAAAACAAAAACCCTCCAGTCTTGAACTCTGAAGTTTGCTTGGTTTCCATTGTGTTATGATTACTTTATGAAATCATATATTCATTTATAAAGAGCAAGTCTATTTGGAAATCATAAATATGCAGTTCGGTAATTTCATGTTTCTCTTTCACTACGAAATCTACAGGAAGAGATAGATAGCTGAGCTGGGAAGAACTGAAGGCCCTTGAGAGCTGGCCTTGGTCAGCAGATAAACTGCGGTGAAATGCCCGGTCAGCTTTTAGGAGCCCCATCCCGTCCTTCCACACGAGATGTACAGTCAGGCGAACCACAGAGGGAAAACCTGGGGAAGATCATCACGGAGTCAGAGTGTGAGCACTCCTAGCCTCCGCTTCGCCTGCTGGCAGCGCCTCTGCCCACCAGGCTGTGACCAACCCACTGCCTTCCATAGAGTGGGCTGGGAGAAAGGTCAGCTTTCTCAAAAATGCTGGGTCAAGATTTGTAAAGATCCAGTGGACGCTTTAGAGAAGGTGTAAAGTTCATGAGATCTAAAGAGCACAGACACAAACGGGAGTTTCAGCACCTCTCTAGGACAGAACCACACTGAGGATGACAGGGCCTTCCTTCTTCAAGATACTCCATGCAGAAAAGATTAAACATGCTGGGCTCTGGCTGACATGAACAGAGAAGTTCTACTCAGTGGCCCTATGCCTCTGACAGCCCTGGGCATGTCCGGGACTAAACCAGAGAGCTGCAGCGATTCTGACCCTGATGCAGGGTCATCCACTGCTGGGTGGGCCAGGTGCATCCTAGGCTCCTTCCTGCCTGGGCTCAGCCTTTTCCCCAGGCAAACTGGGAAGATGGAAAGAGGTGTGGTAAAATTATTCACCCGTCCCCTAAAAGCACTGATGGCTCCAAATGCCTAGGAGATGGTCCAGCAAGTCCCTAAGTAGGCTGGGGAAATGCCAGCAAGTGACAAGCAATAAACTCTGTTCCTGCTGACAGCACATTGAGCGAAAATGGCATACAGTCGATGTCCTTGAAAAAGCTAAGTGGGGAGGGCTGTGAATACCCTCCCAGAAAGGCAGGCCCTGGCCTCTGGGCAAACTGTCCTCCTGTGCATGCTTGTCTTTTTAGGACCAGAACTGCAGGCAGGACAAGGCAGGAACAGGCTCAGAATCCCAGTGGGACACAACCCAAGACGAAAGTCTCCTGACTGCAACCCAGAGAACTATTAAAGGAAGGAAATGGGGAAATCTAACCCCCTCTATAAGGAAATGATTCCCCCAACCCGGGGTGTTACCTAACTGGGAACAGAAGCAGTCCTCGGGCCTGCCTGGCATCTGCCCTAGCGCTGCAGCTGCTGTGGGCCACCTGCCACATGGTCCTAGGCCACGTGACTCAGACAGGCTGATCACATCGGCTGTGGGGAACCTCACCCCGCTGCCCCGGCGGGGGCCCAGAGTGGGAACCATTGGAGAGGAGCCCCTCCTTCAGCCAGAGCACAAGGTGGTGGGATCCTAATCCTAGAGCTGCTTGGAGCCCAACTGCCACAAGCGAGAAGCGCTCAGAAGATCAAGCCTAGGGGGAGGTTGGGGCAGATCGACCAGCCACCTAGACCAGCTGTGCTGAAATCCAGGGCCATTTCGGTTATACAAGTAATAAACCCCTTTGATAACTTGAGCCAGTCTGGGAAGGGTTTCTGTCACACTGAAAAAGATTTATGCTTTCCCAATAACACATTTGGATGCATTCCTTATTAGCAAAGTTTATATCCTCTTAGCATGTGTGCGAAAATACCACCAATCAATCTGGCAATTCTTCCTGAGATTTCCAAGTGTGCCAGAGAAGGACCTGGGGGAAGATAGCAGGCTCTGATCCCAGAGCCTGGATCCCTGCTGCAGGACACAACCCAAGTATGGCTCTCAGTGGGCTTAATGCCAGGACCACCCCTCAGGGCAGCTGAGACCTTCCAAGAGCAGCTGTGCCCGGGTGAAGACCTCGCCCTTTCACAGTCTCCTTGGGCACAGGCTGGGGGCTGCTCAATAGCTAGGTGAAATCAGAGGCTAGGGTGAAGGCCAGGCCAGCACAAGTCTTCCAGAAAACAAACATAGTGGGGCAGGCCCATGGCTACAGTGTGCACTACAAGCACACAACTCCAGATTCCCCATCTTTTAATGGGCACCAAATCAACCCAGGCCACTGTGATACACAGAGGCAGCCATCAAGGTGTGATGACAGAGCTAGGCCCTGTCCTCGCTGTGTCTCCAACCAGAGTCCCTGCTTTATCCTCTCCAGGCGTAACTCCGTCACCTGTTAGGGACGATGCCAGAGAGACACGACATTAACAACTATGCCTTCTGCTCTTCTGCCGGGACAGCTGCCAAAGCCCATGCACATCTACAATCAGTTCGTGCTTATCACCATCCTGGGAGCAAGGCAGGCATCGTGCCCACTTTCTGTGGTTTGGTAGATGGCTGGGTCAGGTCTGGCTGGCTCTGGCCCTCACCAGGCCTCTCACGTGTACAAGGGGTGCATGGGTCCACTTCAGAGTGACCCACAGCAGAGGCCGGCCTCAAAGGACTTAGTAGTTGGTCCAGCAGTCAGCACAGGCTCCTTAATGTTGAGTTTCATCATCAGGCTTGCGAGAAGAAACCTAGGCCCTTGGTGGTAGCAGCCCTAAGCATGAAAGCTGCTAGGAAATAGGGGCACCCCCCCCCCAAGCAAAGACCAAAGACCAACTGGCAGCAGGTAGGGGTCACATCAATGGGAGAAAGCAGAACTGCCCGGGATCCCTGCATCCTGTCATCTGCTCAGCCCATAGCCCCTCTGCGCATTCTGTGGCCTTTCCATGTGGGCTGCATAGGTTGAATTCAAATCAGCGTCTTGTTAAACAAAACCAGCTTCCCAAGGGTTCTCTGCTAATCTCATGACACAAATGCACCTCTGCAAAGCCAAGCTCATGTGGAGAGGGCAGGACATGGCATCAGGGCCCTGAGATTTGAAACAGCAGCACCACCAGCACATGGACTCGGGCCTCCTGGGCCGAAGCCCTGGCCCTCTACTTTCCAGCCCTGTAACCTCTCCAAGTTTGTCCCTCTGCAAACACAGTGTCGAATCCACCACACTGACACAGGTGAGGCTCTTAAACCGTGACCGTGACACAGCAACTACAAGGCTCAGTTGTCACCTGCCGGTGACCTGAGGGAGCCCCTGATCTTTTCCCTTTGGCTCTGGGCTCCCCACTGAGCCAAGCCAAAGGTCCCTCTGCGTATTGCAAAGCCACAAGGGAGTTCATACCAATGGATGCAGGATGGACAGGGCATGGCACTCTTACCTGTAGGTCGCCACCTCCAGGCTAAGGCCGGTCTTCACCTGCAGAAGCTCCTGATAGTCCTGCAGTCGCTCAGCCATGGCCAAGGTGAGGGCCTCCTTCTCATCCTCCAGGGACTCGATCACTCTCTGAAGAGAACAGAAGTGTGTTTAGATCCAAGAACTTACAGGGATGAGCTGAAGGTATCAGGACACAAAAGTGATGAGAAACCTCCAGGCTCATTATTACGCACACACTCATCGGCAAGGATGGTTTCAAAGATTGTGTCTCTTCCTCATGGGAAATTTTTATTATTGTACTTGGAGGATTTGGACAGGACGACACTTGCTTCTCTGGACTTGCTAGTAACAATGAATGCTAAAGAGTTTGTTCCAATCAGCTCTACAGTTTAGACATTGGTCCACATAAGGAAAGCCCCTATATCTAACTGGTAAACAGGGTGCTATTGAAAATAAACCATGACTACATTTCAGAGGGTTTTACAATACTTGAGACAGAAGTCACTGAGAATTGAACTAAAATTGCTCCCAAAGTCACGATTTCCCCCATAATAAGCAAGTGAACAGATACAGAATTCTTTATTTCACCCAGAAAAGCTGCTTTAAAATAATCTTGGGAGAAATATATTCTGGGTATAAATGAACAAATTCAAACTTGGACATAAATCTTTTCATACCATACTTGCACAACGCAGTTAAAATACACTCCCTGGTGCTTCTTCCTGGCCCTCACAAGGCTGCCCCTGCATCCCCTGCCAGACCAGCAGCCCCACATACCAGCCACGCACACACTGGGCAAACTGACTTTCAGACGAAACCATCACGTTCAAATGCCATTTTAAGCTGACCATACTTTTTAATTAATACACATGATGACTTTATTTCCTCCTGCTTGTTAACTAGTCACTCTGGGGCAAGGTCAACAAAGCAAATATTGAAACACTGAAATGAGGAGCCTTTATACTTCCGGCCTGTGGTAGGAAGTAGCACTCTCTTTGAATGCTATGAACTAAACTAAGCCACACTTACAAACACTTATTGTTAGAGAATTAAAAGACTGTAAGACTACTGAGAGGGAATGTGTTTTCCTCAATGCTGGAATCTGGACACCAGAAACACCTCACAACACATGGAGGGTCTGAAACAAATCTGTGATGTCTGTAGAAAGAATGGACCCGATGAAGACCTCACCCTGGATTTATTACTCTCAAATGCATAATCGTCATGCACATTGCCCTGCTTTTTTTTTTTTGGTACCGGGGATCGAACTCAGGACCTTGTGCTTGCAAGGCAGGCCACCGAGCCGCTGAGCTAAATCCCCGGCCCTGCCCCGCTTTCTATAGCAGCTCCGTTCCAAGCCAATGCTTGTTAGGGTCTCTCTGTAAATAAGGGTGCTAAAAACAAAAGCAAAGCCCACTTAGCTTAAAGCAGAGAGGTAAGTTTAATAACCACTGACAACAGTCCCAGTGGACATGTGCCCCCAAAGCTGGCACAAATAGCAGAGAACATAGCTCACCAAAGCAGACCACTTGCCAGTTTGGATTTAAGTGACAGAGATTTATCTATGACATCCACACATTCTACAATTAAGTCTCAGTGTTAAAATCCTATGTTCTGCTTTTAAATTCCAGTAGAAGGCTAGAAATACATACATTATATAATATGTATACTATTATAATAGTACTATAGTTTAATAGTATTCTATTATTATAGTATATGTGATGTATTCTGTTAATTGTACATCATTAATAATTATATAACTTATATGAATATATAACATTCATTGTATTAAGTTATAATTAGAAATAACTAGAATATAGAAAATTATATAATTATAAATAATATTATATAAAATAATTATATAGAAATTTGATCTAAGCATTAAAACTTGAAGATCTGTAATTTGTTCTTCACAAATATGTTCAAGTGTTGCTAAACTGCTTAGGAAAAAAATATCACATGAGCTCAATTCTCTACCCACAGGTCAAGACTTCCCAGCTGTGCCAAAGGGGGCTTCCTGTGTCCCCGCCAAGGACACGGAATAGCTCTGCATGCCCCAGAATACGAAAGGGAAATCAAACTGTGCGAGTCGGAACAAGAACAGTGGCCAGCACATTTCCATCTGCCTCAGCTCTCCCTGAACTGTCAGAGGGAAGCTGGTTCACTTTCAGAAGTGGGTTCCTAGGAGCACAAAGCCTCTTGGTCCCTGATACTCTCCATAGAAACCATATCAGTCCCTGTGGGCAAGCGGGGCTTCAGCCTTGGGCTCTGCTTTGCCAAAGGTTTCCCGAGTTGTGGACCGGGTCTGAGCGCTGGGACACCAGGCGCAGGACTCTAATTCCAACCCAAGCAGAAGCCTTTTCATTTCATGCTGCAAAACCTTGAGAGAGGGGTCACTTTTTAGCTCTTCTGTAGATAACTGTTGGGCAGCATCACAAGTGATGATGAAATCTAGCTCCACGCCAGGGAAAGTGGGCTGCTGTTGGTGTTAAAAAAGAATTAACTTTATTTTAGCCAACCCTGAATCCCCTCTTATCCACCCAGACTACATAAGGAGAGCTTGCAAACATTTTAATCACTTTGCATTTTGAGTGTTAGAGATCAGAGAGACTTAAATACTGTGATGACCTCACTCAGAAACAAAATAAATACACTGAGAAGCAGCATGAGCTGAGCTAGCTAAGTGTACACAGTTCTAGGCCAGACAGCCCCTAAACTCCCCATGGGAATCTTGCCATACCAGGTGGGTGTTTCAGAGGCAGCTCAAAGTGGACACCTGGGAACTAAGCTCAGATCTTCAACCCAACCCACACTTGCCCTCCTGCACCACCCCTCTCGCAAAGAGCACCCCCTTCCTCCAGTTGCTCTGGTCACACGTCCTGGAATCACCTTTGAGCCCCCCCCCCACTCCTGTCCCCGCCTAACCTGTTCGCAAACCCTCTTGGCCTCAACTGTAAAGTGGGTCCCTTTTCTGTCCTCACTTCTACCCTTGGTCCAGCCTCCAGTGCCTCCTATTCATCCTGCTTTGATTATTCTAGCAGTCTCCTAACTAGGTCCCCTGTCCCCACACCTGCCCAATGGCCTGCTGTCAACAGAGCAGGGACAGAGCCCATTAAGCTGCTGGCTCTGCTCCAGACTCTCTATGGCTTCCTGTGGTACTCGGGGTCAAAGCCCAGTCCTGTAGCAGGCGTTCTCCCTCTCCCTCACTCTCCCAGCCGTCTTGCCTTCCTGGCTGAACACCACGTAGCCACTAAAGGCCGCTCACACCAGGGGACTTTCTCTGCTGTATTTTGTACTGCTGTATTTTCAGTGCTGTATTCCCAGAACCAAGCTTGTGCACTAAGTGCTCAATAAGTTAGCTGAATGAATGAATTGAACAGACGTGGCTGGGAGCTACCTGCATTATCCCTATTTCACAGTGGGGTGACTGAGTCACAGGAGGGTTAAGGAACGTGACCCACCCGATGAACGGCAGAGCGCAAGCCCTGGCCCAGGCAGCATGGTCATCAGAGGGCTGGCCCTTAGCTACGCAGCTTATACCATTCCCCTTCCAATCAAAAAATTTTTTCTTTTGATCATGTCTTGAGGGCTTGGAAGCCATTCTCAGTTGGCCTCAATGGCCAAGAGCTCACTTCCACAAGAAAAAAATGTCATGATTGCTGGGCACAGTAGCATACCCTCTGTAATGCCAGGATTCTGGGAGGCTGAGGCAGGAAGATCAATTGCCTGGGAAATTTGGAAGGATCCTGCTTTGGGGAGAGGGGGAGGGAGGGATAGACTGTAAGTATTAAAACTCTTAGCATAAGAAATTAAACTAGTTTTAAGGATACTTTCTGTCTCCCGAGTATCTGTGGAATTTTTTAAGATGTTGAGGCTTGGGGTTTGATCGTTTCTTACTCCACACAGTTCCGAGCACTTGATTGGTGCTGACTCTTTCAGAATGTAGATTAGAACGTGGCTGCTTTACGCTAACTGGGAATCCGATAAGGTACTGTAACGTCCAGTAAAACAAAACCTCCACACATTGGAGCTGGAACGAATCCATATCCTTGCCAACACTGTCCTTGCTCTCTACCTTCAGGGGAAAGCACATTCCAACAAGACAGGGTATCCCTGGCTGGGGAGCTGGGGCGTGGTGCTACTCTGGATCCTATGCGACCTCGGGAGGGGCTCAGGGCCTTGTACCCAGGAAGGGCAGGTCAGTGATTCTAACTCCACCTCCAAGTCCCCACCTTGTCCTTCAATCAGGGGAAGTCTGCTTTGCTGTCACACGTGGGGTTTCACTGAAAATGTCATCACCCCTGATAAGGACTTCGCTGCTAAAGTGAACACTGAAGCCAGAGCTTCAAGGTCTGAAAGGAGCTAAGTAAAGGAAGAGATGAAGTCCCCTGTCACCTTACAGTTTCTCATCTAGTCTCCAGCGCTTTGAACACTGAAATCCTGGCGCAGTGTGCTGGGCGCAGAGCTAATCAGTAGGGCGTTGGTAGTTATCTGTGGTCGCCTGTCACCTCACCAGTCATTCCACGCCAACTCCCTCATTGCTCCCTTGTTTTTTAAAATCGTACAAAATTACTCTACCTTAGGTTTTCAGCTCACAGCTGCAAACTGTTGTCTTAAAAATCTTTCTGCTATTGTGCCCCGGTTGTTTCAGACTGTCATTCTGGGAACTACTGATAGGGTGATGTGGGACGACTATTTCCAATTCTGGCCGAGGCTGGGCAGGGCAGGAGCCAAACACCAGCCCTGGAACTACGTGCTGGGCACAGGTGCGGCCCTCGGGTGTCAGTGGTGAGGACGCTGCTTCTCTGAAATAGGAACTGTTTATCAGCCTGTGCTTGTAATAACATCCCGGCCCCCGGGACCTGCTCTGCTTCACTTCTACACTACCCTGGGATCTGGGTCATGAGCAAAATACCTCTGATTCTTTTCTGATTATAGTTGGTACCCCTCTGGGGGCGGGGTGTGAAACGCCCCAGGCAGCCACGACCAGCTGCCTCCAGCTGGGAAATCATTCTGGCAAAAGAAACCCCAGTTTGGAAACCAGCTTAAGATGGGCCCCTCCACATATGGACCTGCGACTGTCTTTAACCTCCCAGCTCACAGACCTATCCAAGTGGGAACACGCTGTCCCTCCTGAAAGGCAGGTGTCTCGG